AAGGAGTAATCCAGGTGGCAGAGGAGGGAGAAGTTCTAAGAATAGATGCAACACATGCACAGGTGTGGAGGTAGGAAACAGGCCCTTTGTCCTCTTAGTGTCCATGGTGTGGTGCCACAGGGCAATCCACCCATGTTTTAGTGGGCATATGTGTCTGAATCCATCTCCTCAAAGTCCTTAAAGTCTGGGAAATCTCTTTCCAACATGAGTCTGCCATGGTATTTGAGTCCGGGCATGTTTATGTAGGGTTTTAGTCACAGCTGAAGAGCAAATGTTACCTTGAGGTATCCGGTGGGATGCTGGTGTTCTGCACCTTCTGTGTTTTTTCCTGAGGGCAGACAGTATTACTCTCAGTGAGCTGGAGCACCCTCTATCAAGAAACAATCAAAGCTTGTGCTGGTCCCACTCCTGGTCTCTCTAAATCACACTGTCCCTTGCAAGGTGACTAGGCCCTGTGGCTCTGTGTTGGTGTGCCTCATCCCTGCCCCCAGGGACACTGGGATTGTCTCAGCCCCTGTGCCCAAGGAGCTGTTGCTGATGGCCGTTAGTAGTGACTGCTATACCTCAGCCGGGGCTGCACTGCCTCCCTGGGCAACTTTGCCAAGGCTGCCTTTGATGCCATGTCTAAGACCTACAGATTCTCACCCCTGACCTCTTGAAAGAGACTGGATTCACCAATTCTCCCTATCAGGAATCCACTGACGATCTTGTAAAGACCCACGCCAGAGTTTCTGTGCAGAAGACCCAGGCTCCGGCTGTGGCCCCCACAAAGTTTTATACAAAAAAATAAGGTGAATTGGCCTGATAATAATAATAATAATAATAATAATAATAATAATAATAATAATAAAAAATTTAAAAAACAGTCAAAATTTGTGCTGATCCCATTCCTGGTCCCTGTAAAGATATATGGCAGGTGCCTTTTTCTCTAGTGAGCTCTTTCAAATACACTACCAAGATGAAGGTCAAGAATTTCTGAGAGGTTCTTAACTACCCTTCTTCCAGAACAAGGCCCAGAGACCATTACTGGATTATTAATCTACACGGACTGAGTACAGACATTCTTGACCTCTGCCTGGGCTGGGCTCCTGAGAGCCCTTGCAGTTGATGAGGACAGGAAAGGAAGACTTTCATCCAGACAGAGGCTTTAGGCTTTTGGCTTTTTTTCTCTAGCCTGGTTTATTTTTGTCAAGGTCTGTTACATTATGGATATTCTGTCCCCAGCCTGGGCTCCCTCAGTGGCAGTAACTGCTGTCATTCAATGCTGGTTCCCCAGAGATTTATCATTCATTCATTCATTGATTCAAAGCCAGGGAACAGTTTGGACAGTAACCTGCCTTCATAGAGATTATGCTTTGGTAAGGCAGCTGGATATTAATCATATAATCACTCAAATAAATGTAAAATTATGGCTGATAAGGGCTATGATGAAGAGGTATCTGGGCCCATGAAATACAATGTGGAGACTTCTACAGAGTCCCATGGGCCAAATTAAGAATTTTGGTCTTTATCGTAAGAGCAATGGGAAATTATTGAAGACCCTTCCCAGAGAGGTGACATGATCAGACTTTTGCTTCAAAAACATCAGTTCTGGCTCCGATATGGGGAATGAATTAGAGGTGGACAAGAGTAGGGTTGTCAGATGAAATACAGATGCTAGTTACATTCACATTTTGGATTAACAATGAATAGTTTTAGTATAAATATGACCTAAATATTGTACTTTATCCTTACCTGAGGACATGCCCATAGATTTTAGAAAAGAAGAGAGAGACAGAGAGAGATATAAGGATTCAACATTGGCTGTGGATCAATCCCACAACCTTTGGGTGTACAAGACGATGCTCTAAGCAATCGAGCCAGCTAGCCAGGGCTATAAGTACAATTTTTAAATGTAACTATGTTCCAAATGTTGCATAGGATATACTTAGACTAAAAATTATTTTTTTATTTTATGAAATTAAAATTTAACTGGCCCTCTTGTATTTTTATTTGTTAGCTCTGGCACCCCTAAGCAAGAGAAGATATGAGGAGAACAATTCTTGCTGTTCTTGAATCTCTTTAGATTAGGAAACCAGAGGTGGACATGGAGAGACAAAGACAAAGAAGAAAAGCCCTTGGTCAGTCTGAGTCTGTCATTCCAAGGCATCTGGCAGACAGAGTCCATCAGCCTCCCTCCTGCTCTGAAACCTTAGTTTCCATGCATATGCCATTAAAAACACATGAGTATGGGTATATTAACACATCACTGCAGTCTAGATGCAGGGCTGGTGCCTGGTCAGAACCTGCCCTAAATGACCAATAAGACGTGTACTAAGATAACATCTTTTTGACCCCATCCCTCGAGGCCCAATGATGCCTGAAAGGTGGGCTCTTTGCACTGCAGTGACCAATGTGTGTGAGAGAGAGGTTTAGCAGAGGCAATGCTGTAAAAGGCAAAACTCTTGTTTTCCCATGATAATTCATGTTTTAGCAAATGAAGCAGCATAATAAAGCCCTTAAAAACATAGGCTTTGCCAGGGGGTTCAAATGCTCCAGCAGATATTACCTGGCTTGTACTATCTGTGTGATATTGACTGAGACACTTAACTTCTCTTGGCTTTGCAGTATGTCTTTCAGATTAATGCTAATGTGTATCAAGAGCCAGGCACAAAGGAGGTGCTTACTAAGTGGTATGTGCTTCTAGAAATAAATGATCCCCTCATTTCAGAAAGCTGGCTCACTCTTCTTCCACAGCCTCACTGTGGGTTTGTCATTGTTAGAACCCTGTGCTGACTTCCCATTGCCCCTGCAGCAGGATCTCGGTGCACGGGTCTCAGTTTGCCTTTCTGCCATGACTGTCACTGTGTCCCCATCAGAACCTCGTGCTCCAAATGAGCCAAGCCATTTAACCCTTCTGCAACCCCAGTTGAACTTTTCTACTTTTTTGTTTGCCTGGAGTGTCTTTGCCTATATCTGTTCGAGCCTTATTCATTACAAGTATTTATAAGGTCATGTTAATAGAAATGTGATCGAGTAAGATAACATATGCCTAGTAAATAAGATAAATACCCATCACTAGGGAAATGACTGTAAACCAGATAGGATTCATGTGCATTGTGTAATACCTGTTGGAAAAGTATATATCTGTGAACTTTTGCTAAGTGAAAAAAGCAAATTATATAACAAGATGTGAAACATAATTGCAGTTCAGAAAGGGATTTGGCAATGGATGTATTTCTGAAAGAGTCAGGATAAAATATGCTCAAATTGTATTTTTTCACAGAGGATTGAGTTGAAAGAGAAAGAAAACTTGACATTTAGTTAATATACTTACATGGCTTGGGTTTGTCTGTTTACTAGAACTGTGTTAATTTTATAACTGAAATTAAATCAAAATGCATAGAAAAATTTATTAGAAGAAATAAACTTTGGTTATGTTTCAGTTGTTTGATGGGGGTGGCCCTTACCCTCCCCCCCAACTTATCATTATTATATTAGAGAACAAACTGATAACAAAAGAAGGTTATCTTCCTGTTAAAATTTCCAACAGAAATGCTACTCCTTCTATAAAACATTTTTCTGATTCCACAACTGGATGTGCTGTTTCCTTCCTTTGAACCCTCAAAGCGCATTGTATGTCTTCTGTGGCTTTCATCTCTGCCTATCGTATAAGTATTCCATTCATGTTTTACTGCCTGACTAGATTTAAGCAACTTGAGGGTATCATGATGGAGAAGGAAGCCTGCTTTCAAGTTCGAAGATCTGGATGTTGGCTCTTGTTCTAATTATCTATTGCAGCATGACAAATTAGCCTAAACTCAGTATCTTACAACATAGTCGTTTTATTCTATGTTACAAGTTTTTGGTCAGCAACTTGAGCACAGCTGGGTTGGGTGATTCTTCTGCTCCATGAGGTATTGACTGAGGTCACTTGGAAGTATTTGGCTTGGGCCGGACAGAGGTCAGTGGGATGCTGGCTCAGCCCCGCCCTTTCCCTTTCTGAGGCCTCTCTGCAGACTTACTACAGGTGGCTCAGGGCTTCAGGAGACCAAGGCAGACCAAGACAGAGCTTCCCCTCTTCCTAAAGGAGGGAAGTGACAGCGTGTCACTTCCGCTGGACTGGTCAAGCAGCCATAGAGCCTGCCCGGATGTTAGAGGGTAGAATAGAGATGCCACCTTTGAAAGGACAATTTGGGTCAAAAGAATTTGTGGCCGTTGGTCCATCGCAGCTTTGCTATGTGTACAACCTCTGTGTCTCAGTGACTGCATCTGAAAGGTAGAAAGACCAAAAGCTGTAATGAATGCAAAAGCCTTCTGTCCACTACAAAAAGCTATATGAATTACGAATACCAGGCATTGCCTTGGTACTAACTCTATGCCTTACTCAAGGCATAGAGTTAGCTAATGAGCATACTCATTAGATGTTTTATGCTGTGAAAGCAGACTCATTTATCGGGCACTTCCTAGAAGGAACACACCAAGAAGGTGATGCTGCATGGCCACAGAGGGGTGTGGCGTAGCTGTGGAGTGTGGACTCTGGGTTAGGTTGACACGAGTTAAACCCAAGCTGTCGCCCAGCGACTATCTGTGTGATCTTTGCTGACTCATCTCACCTTCCTGAGCCTTAATGTTCTCATTATAATATGAGACTAATATTGTCTATCTAGCTGGGTTGCTGTGTGCATTGGAGCTAATCTGCATAAAATGCTTTAGGACAGTGACTGTCATGTAGTAGGTCTTCTGTTTCTCTTACAAAGTCATATAGAAAGTCTGGATTCCTTGCTCATTTCTTTGCACTGGCCGCCTCCATTCACACAAATAGAGGGAGTCCAGAGCCCAAGTCATTGTGAAAGCAGGTGGGAAAGGAAGGCCCCTACTTCTTGTTTCTCCCAGTCTCCTCCTCTCCCCAGAGAAGTTCCCTCCAGGGGATCTGGGCCCCATGAAGCTTTGTTTGGTAAGTCACTCTTCTGAGCGTTGGATGTGGTCTCCTTTCAAACCTGTGGCTTTGTCTTTCATAGATGTATGAGATCAAATCAGAAGGCTGCATTGCGAAGAAGTTCAATGAGATTCTGCAGAAGCTGAGCTCGCCCCTGAAGCCCAGAGTTCCAGAGCATAGTAACAATAGGATGAAAAACCTCTCCTACCCATTCTCCAGGGAGAAAATGTACCTGTGAGTATTAGCACTGTGGGGTAGGGATGCGAGGAGGGATGGAAAAGAAAATCAAACACTGCTCAGTCATAAGTAAGTGTCCTGTGCCTTGGAAAGAAGAGAGGAAGCATGCTCTCTTGGTGAAGTATTTTCTGTGTCTCCTGCCCTACATGAGATCATCACAAGTACCTTCTGAATAATTGTCCAGTGGCTTATGGAAAATCTGTGATTTCAGTTATTTTGCATGATGGTTGGACAACTAGGGAGCAAACAATAAACCTTGGGAATCATATACCTGTTTATCTTCTGTGGGGTTTACATTTTGCCCAGTTCCCAATGGAGTGGGATTTTAACATACCGTGATACACCCGAGAGAAGGTGGATAAAGATTCTGGGTGTCTGTATTCTCAGCTGCCTACGCATGTACTTATTGACTCCGAGGAGACCCCTTCCACACGTCCCACCCTGGGCGAGGGAATAAGAGCCCTTCACAGAGATGGTCATTTGGAAAACTTCTGGACGGGGGAATCATGGTTGGGAAGTGGCAGGTACAGCAGCCAAGCATTCATTCCGTTTTAGGAGCAAATGAGAAAAATAAAAGGCTACTGGGAATGTTGAGTGAATTAAGCAAGAAGAACAAAGGAAGGGGCATGGAAAGGCCGAGAAGATAGAAGGATCTGTCTCTTTTGAGGAGGTAGTGTTCAGGGAGCTATGTTTCTGCTGTCATTGGATAGCATTTCCTACCCATCTTTGCCGTGTTAGTTAATGATTCTGTACACGTATGTAGGCTGTTCTTTTTGCATATCATTGAATCTCCCCTCCCTGTGGTTCTGATATCAATTCCGGTCACCAATTCCAATGTATTTGTGGGTTTTCCCACACAACCAAGAAATTCTCCAACACCAGCTGGGTGTCAGCCCAATCCCACACTATCTACCTCGGTACAGCATCAAATTTCCCAGGCTGAGGACTCAATCCTACAAGACTGCTCCCCCCCCCCCCCCCCTTGCCGTTAGATGTCAATAGCAAGTCCAGGTTGTTAACTGTGCTTCTGACTAACTGTAAATCACAGGTTCCCATGACGTTGGGTTTGATTAATTTGATGGAGCAACTCCCAAAACTTAGGAAACCAGTTTATTCACTAGATTACAAGTTTATTACAAAAAGTGTTAAAGGATACAAATCAACAGTCAGATGAAGAGATGGGGAGTGTGAGATCCCAAACGAAGGAACTTCTGCCCTCGTGGAGTTGGAGCCTGACAAGTGGCCCCTGGGAGAATTTTGGCTCCCCAACCTGGAAGCTCTCTGGGACCCCTCCTTCTGGGTTTCTATGCAGGCTTCAGTCTGTAAGCATGGTTGATCAAATGACTGGCCATTAATGATCGCTTCGACCTCCAGCCACTCTCCCCTCTGCAGAAATCAGGGGGTGGGACCCAAAGCTCCAACCCTCTATTCACAGTTGGTTCCCTGGGCAACCAGCCTCCCTCCTGAGGTGCTTTCCAAAAGCCACCTCATTGACAAACCCAGCGGTGGTGGAAAGGGGCTGGATATGAATAACAAATACCCATTTCACCTTTATGGCTGTGAAGGGATTTCAAGAACTGAGGACAAGAGACCAAATTCTATAACAGAAGATGCATCCATTGCTCTGATTGCTCAGAAATTTCAAAGGTTTTGGGAGTTCTAAGCCAGAGACAGTGAAGACCAAAACGTGTATTTTATAAATCACAATGTTGCAACCCCTTGTGAGGTGGCGTCCAGATGTAACTATCCTGTTATTACACAGATGAAACCAAGGTCCAGAGTCTGCCCAAGGATATACAGCCTTAAGCGGCTGGGCTGGAACCGGCACGTTGACCTCCTGGCCTGCTGTTCGTTTTGCACTCAGTGTTTCTTCCACGCCTCCCCTTCCCCCGGCCTTCCTTCATGCCAGTCCCGACGTTGAACGGCCACTCCCACACAACTCCATTCATTCAACTTCTGTGATCCTTCAGATCTTCTTGACGAATTCTCTGAACTTTCCAGCCAAAATACGGTGTTCGTCCTCGGAGTTTTCATAGCAACATTATCAGGTTCTACTCTGCATCTGTTATTTGGAAACATATCCACCCAAGTGACTTGACTCCTGGGTGGCTGGGAGCATGTCTCACACATCTGTGTATCCTCTAGCACAGTGTCCTAAGCACACGTGTGTTATTTTTTAATGAAAGGTAATATTCGAAGTTTAGAACAGGTATAGGCCTTGCATAATCCTGAGTCTGATATCTAACGGATATGACATTGTGACAACATTAAATGAAACTTTGAAAACAAAGTTATAGTCCCAACACCCTGAAATTATACTCTTTCGTTATTGTTAATACTTTGTTCATACACAGTAATCTTTTTGACATTCTTTTATTTTTAAAACTTGTCATAGTATATTTTCTGTCATAGTCTAAAAATTTTCTATGTCTAAAGTATCAATAGTCATAATTTTTAATGCTGCATGATAATATATTGTATAGATTTTGGAATTGCATCTTATCTCCATAACTCTATTAAAAGTAACTCCATGAGGAACATTTTTATTTATGAGACTTGTTTCTTCTGTTGAATTTGTTTTCCCTGGGAAACAGTTCTATGATAAGTTTTCAGATTTACTGGGTCAGGAGTGTAAACATTGTGAGTGTGTGTGAGTGGTGTGTCTTACATCTTGCTATGTTGTTTTCTAAAAGTTTTCTCTGGGTCTGGGTGAGAGATCTTAGGGCGAGGGCACTAAAATGAGTTGACCTTCTGCTTTCTTGGTGTCTCCAGGTACAACATCCAGGATAAGGACACCTTCTTTGATAACGCCACACGTAGCCGCATTGTGAGTAAACAGGTTAACCAGGTGTCCAACGAGGTGTGGTGGGCCCAGGAGGGGTGGGGAAAGACCAAGTACCTAGTCGGGCAGAGCATCCCCTTGCCCGCCCTGCTACCTTCCATCATCTTTTGTTTGGAGTTGCCGAGCAACCGAAAGAAGTGTCCAGGAGCTTTCTAATCCCAGCAGTGAAAGAAATAGCAAACAACTGCCCTCACTCAGGCTTGTGAGGGGTGTCTTCTCATGAGAGTTCTTCACTTATACCCTCTTGGAATTAGAGAAACAGGGACTCTCTGAGCTGGTGGGGACTTTCAGCTCGCCAGGAGACTGAGGCTCTGAGTAGCAATGAGTTGAAAAATTATTCATACAGATCATTAGTGTCTGAATGAGGACTCATCACCGGGCCACTGGGTTTCTTTCCTTCTCCCCCAAGGGAGTCCTGTGCATTTCTGCCACAGAGAATTCTAGAGCTAGCCAGTTTGTCCAAGAATAAAATGATCAACCCACTCAGTAGAAAGCCAAAATTCATAACTATAATGGTTCTTCACCAATTTTTTTTTTACCTGGAAACACTTGAAGTCAAGTTTTTGAATTTTGCAGAATGATGGATACTAGTGCAAATCTGTAATATGCCTTGTGTCCTTGTGGCCCCAATCAGCTAGGGTGATCAGTTTATTCTCTACCTACCTAGAGAACATTCAGCCTATGGACAGAGGAGAAAGAAAGGTCCTAAAGAGTGCCGGACACTCTCTCATGCCACAGGGGGAACTTGGCAATGTGTTTCCATCGATCCCTAAGGAAGAATTTAAGTTTCAACAGAAGGAGGAATGAGGGTTGGATACTTAGCAGAACGTCTAAGTTGATAGGGTGGTAAGAAGAATATAAAGGGACAAGTAAGTAGAGAAAAGTACCGAACATTTCCAAGGCATTCTGAAAACATGGCCCATTGTTTGCAGCCTGGGCAAGAAAATACTTGAGGTCCCTTAGCCTAGTGTTTTAGAAAGGTTTAAAATGGGCATATGATTTTTTTCATCTTTTTATGGAAAAAATATAAATTTCTCTCTCTTTTTTTGGTTGATGCTCTTATAAGCCACTTAAATCTCCCTGTGGCTTGAGTCTCATGCCTGTGAGGGAATAACAGGGTGTTGTGGAGATTACCCCAATAATTGCAAAGTGCTTGTAAAATAATAAAGTGCCGTCAAATGCTGTTCTTAATTATTATTGCTGTTGAATCACTGTACTGTATAAGTGAATTAAGCATTCCTTGGCCCCTTCTGCTAGAAGTTATTTATTTACCACTCCCTCTAGGTCTGTGGCTAGAATTTGAGAGCATGAATGATGATGGAGTAATAACACATCTCCCATTAATCTCTTCTAGAAGCTTCTTCCTTTGCTTCTTGCCCTTTTCCAGTCTACCCCACACTGTGAGAAGAAGGGGGAGCCTTGAGTTTTGTCCTGGGTCTGTTCTGGCCTAGGGACCTCACCCACATCTATAAATGCCTTCCCCATGCCCCTTCTTTGTGGGCATCTGGGAAGCCCAGCTCTTTGTCCCAGAACAGGCTTTCCTGCTGAGCATCTCTTCATAGCCTGACACAGGCTTGGAACCCACTGGAGGAGAGTGGTTGGCCAGCAGTTTTATGCTGGCCTACCTGTACCCCTGTTTTCTCTGCCAGGATCTTCTCAGCATCCCTCCCTCCCATGTGAGGGCAGTCACCTACAAGCCACATAGTTGGGGTTTTTTGGTCCATTACCGCATGCAGTGGTCATGGAGCAGGCAGCCTGCTGGAGGCCCGGGATGTGCTTGGCGACGTGGAGTCTTGAGGAAGTGTCTGACATGCTCTGGTTGGGGAGGCGAGATGAGGACTCAGGACAAAAATAGTACCAATGGCCAACATGTAGGTGGCCCTTTTCCAGTGTACAAAGTGCTTTCATGGTTCCTGAAAGCAGCTCTGTGGCATAGCTCCATTACAGAGGCGGCAATGAGCCCTCACAGAGCTGCTCAGGACCCCTCTGCTAAGAACCAGGACTAGAATCGGATTGTCTGCCTGCTTTTCCTGTGCTTTCCCCAGCGTGGCACTGATCAGGGCTGGTGGAGAGGACATCCTCCTCCAGGTCTTCCCTGAGGTTCCGCCAGGGGAGGCAGACACCCCGTCCCATGTGACCCAGGCTCTTCCTCCCAATCTCCCCAGGGGGCGCTGTGGGGGTCTGAGCTCCTTAGTGTGTTGTTCTTGCCTGCTGTAACTGCAATTTATAGTCTTTCCTTTCTTAATTTTTTCAGGGTGGGGCAAAGGGAGGGCAGTGTGTATGAGGGGGTTGATTGTTTCCTCAAAGCACTCAAGTTTGAGTGGGTTTGACAAGCAATCCATGAGCTTGGCACATGCTTGGCTCCCCCCCTACCCCATAAATGGGTCCAGCCGCCTGGTCCCCTGCCTGCCCCCCACATGTGGTGACACATGTGGTCAAGGTCCTCACAGCCCTGCTCTCATCCATTTTAGGTGCATGAAATCCTGAAGCGCACAACCTGTTCTCGAGCCAACAACACGATGGGTAAGGACCCTTTCCGCCACCGTGGGCATAGTGCTGGAGTGCTAAGGGGGCCATAGCTGTCCTTTCAACAGCTCAGTGTGTGGGCAGCAAAGAACAAAACGAACAAATGCCCCACACAGGGGAGGAGGCTGCTTTCACTTAGGGTAGCAAACCCTCCCTGGCCCTCCAGGAGCAGGGGGTGCCCCATTTCTTGGTGGGGCTGGGGCTGTTCCCCAGAATGCTGTAACTTCTCCCAGATCTTCATTCCAGAAGAAAAGCATCTCAGAGGTCTTTTAGTACAGCCCCCTCTGTTCATGTATGAAGAAACTGACCCCCAGAGAGGGTGAGTGACTTGTGTAGGGCCACACATTAGTCTCAATGTGCCTCTTTTAAGTTTGGCATTCTTGTCACCAATTCTGGCTGAATCTGTTTGCCTTTAGGTTGGTTTTTTATCTTTTTTTTTTTTTTAAGTGAGGGTATTGGTCTTTGAAGCAGGAACCTCAGCATTTAAGAACTTGTAGTGTATGACAGGCAGTCTAGATGCTGATGGATTACACAGGGACACACGTACTAGCAGGGGTAAAAACATGAGCTTACATACACAAGCACATGTCCTTTCCACAGGAATCACTCTGCAGGTTCAACTCTCTTTCCAAAAGTGTTACCGTCACTCAGAATGGCTTTTGAAACCTTTGAGAGAACTTGCTTTGTAATAAACTCCGTGGCGATAAATCTGTGGTTTTTGAGGCAGCTTCAAGTTGAAAAGAGTCCAGAGTTATTTAGAGGCAAGTCTAGTGCACAAGGTAGGCAGTGAAATTGAGGAATAAAAATAGTGATGACAGCAATGATAGCTGTTATTGGAGAGGTTATCGTGGGGCTCCTAAGCTGCCTCAGCACCTGGGAAACAGTAGTGAAGGAGGAATCAGAGCAGGTTTTGGAGAGTGATAGCATTTTTAGAATAGTGCAGAACCCCTCAAGGGGGCAATTATGTGTGACTGTTTGCTTTGATGTGTTCCTCTTGCTACTAAATTACAAATAAGACTCCAAGTGTTAAAAATCAAATAGTCTATGTAGTGTTATTTGTCTGGAGCATGGTGCTTACAAGTCAAGGAGGTGAGTGAGTGAGGTAATCGATTAGTTCAATTCCATGGAACGAATGGGAGTCCTCACTTTGAGCAGCCATTTGTCCTTGATTATGAGGACAACCAGAAGAGTCAAGAGATCTTAGAATGTATTTTGTACTTTATCATGGCCTTCATCAAAGTTTTTGAATTTACCCTCATTTCTTGACCAGTTCCCTCCTCCATTCCATTAATCTGCCTTTTATTCTTTCACATCCTCCCAATTTGACCAAAGCTACTTTCTCAGATGTTGTAGGTGTCTTTGTACTTCTCCCATTTCATTGCCTTTTTCTTAGTCTTCATCTTCCTTAACTTTCTACATCCTTCCAAGCCTTCTTTGCTGAACTTCCATCTTCTGAGAGTTGATAGCCAGGAAGGGGCTGCCGATCTACTGACCTGCTGTTGTTCTGTTTCTATCTCTGGATCATACTTTCTTTGGTTCCCCTCCCTCCCTTCTCTCACATTTTAGATATTGTCTGCATGTTTCTTTGGTTTCCTTACTCTCTCTTTCTCTGTAAAGATGACTCACAACCATGTTATTTTTATTTTTCATTTCTTCCACCAATTTCAGCCCAGCATTTCCAATGACTGGACTGATACCTCCAGTGAGATGTTCACCAGAATCTTAAAATCAGTACATCTAATATTCCATTTCTGTCTCATCCCCTCTCTCTCTGGTACCCTCTCTCTCCACTGCTTCTCTTCCTGTCACTGTAACTACTAGGCTGTCTAGTTTTGCTCATGCTGTTCCCTTTGCATGAATGTCCTTCCTCTAATCTCATTCTTGCCAATCCCCAGACCAAACATCACTGTCCTATAGGTTCTCTTTTAATGTCCCTTTTCTGGAATTCTCATTAAACTCAATCTCTTTCCTGCTGATTATCTGTGTTCATGACTTTGACTCATAAGGTAGTCCTTGAGATGTGTCTGAATCATCCGTATGCTCCAATAGAGCTAGGTGTCTGCCTTGCACATTCTGCTCAGTTGATTTGGTTCGATTAATTAAACATGACTACCCAGCTAGTCTCATAGCACTAGCTGTTGAGTTCCTGACTTCATGTGTCCATGGACAAATGAATTAACTTCTCTGCAACTCAGCTTTCTTTTATGTAAAGTGGGGATAATAATATCTACTTTGAAGAGTTTTTATAAAGATTAAATAGGAAGCTGTTTGTTTGTAAACTGGAAAATTCCTAAGAATCAAGTTCATTTCAAGAGACAGTTTCTAGAGTGTTGAAGGGTAATTAGAAACCCTCTGCTTTCACACTGAATTTTTATTTTCTTTTGAGGATCTGATTTTTTTGTGTGATGTCTCAAAGTCAAACATCTTAAGGATTTTGCTGTTCTTGGCTAGTTTCAGGAATTTCTCTTTTGACATTCAGAAATTATTTCTTGAGCACTTGCTATGTGTCAAATGATGTTATAGAAACTGAGAGGTGCCAAGGTGAATTTGACCTAATTTCTACACTTGAGGGACTCTTAGTTTAGCCATGCAGATAAACATATAAACTGATAATTCTGAGATAATCCAGTAGGTACAATAATAGAGACACATTCAGAGTCAAAGGGAACACAGAGGAGGAAGGAATTAACTTCATGTATGTGTCTAAGTATCAACGTAAATTTTTAATACTAGTTTTGTAGCCCTAATGTCAATAATGTCAATAAGGAAGCATGTCAATAATTCTCATCTCAATTACAAATGGGTATAAAGGAGATAAGTGATTTGTCCAGGGTCACATACTAAGTCACTCTCAGAATTGGGTCTACAATTCGGGTTTCCTTACTCCATTCCTAGTCCTACTACCTTTGGGATGCTATGAACTAGAAGTGGAATTAGGTTGAGGCTTTAAAGTCTGTTATTCCTGAAACAACAATTATCTAGCCATAAAATTAGACTCTTGAATTGGTAGGGATAGCCTACTTTCTTCTGACATATAATGAGCCTGAGATCCTAAGGCACCAATATGCTTCTGCTGGGATATTGGCAGAGAAAAGTTGAGAAGTGAGCTTAAGCTCTGTCTCCACCAAATTTTGTTAGATTGTTGTGAGCTATATTGTATTAACTAGCTTTAGTGTTGTTTCACTTATAAAAAAATGAAAAATTAAGAAAAAGGTTAACAGATATTATAAAGCCTCTCCCTTAGTGCTATTTAATATATTTTAAGTTAAAGCTTAAATAAGAAAGTGACCATACAATAAAATTAAAAACCCTATTGTCTGTGTTTTAAGCATGGACATTATGAAAATTAAGTGATGAATTATTTTTTGTCCAGATTCTCAAAAGTTAATACCCAACTTCATACTCAACATCTTCATGCAGATGCCCCCCCAAAACCTCCCACAACGTGACCTAAAAGGATCATATAGGTTTGCCTTTGGGGGGCCACACAACTCCCATCTGTGCAACCCAAATTTTGATGAACACTATCTTTCAATTTCTTAAGCCAGAAATTATATAACAGAAGTGCTGTTTGGTTGACTACTCTGTCAAGCATCTCTAAAATTGGTACAATTTCTCTTCCCATCCACTATGCTAGTCTACATCAACTGCATTTTTCTTTTACCTGAATTCCTTTCCCGCCCACTAAGACATCTTCCTATCCCCAGTTTTGTGGGTTTTAACCCATCCTATGGGTAGACTTACATTTAACGAATTCTATGGGCATAATGTAGCCTGTAGGAGCTTTTTAAAATGCAAGTCTGATGATTTCGCTGGCCTTCTTGAAATGGTAAAATTGACCCACATTTCTGTTAGATAAAATGCCAACTCCTTAATAGTTACCTATTGTTATGGACTGGATGTTTGTATCCCCTTCCCCGAATTCATGCACTGAAGCCCTAACTTCCTTTCCCCCCAAATAAGTAATGTCTAGCAGTTCCACAGTAGCTACCGATGATTTATTAGCTTTGTAACAAGAGACATATGACTAACTTCTCCACTTCCCAGCAGAAGAGCACCCTGCAGGCCAGTTTTCATGTGGTTTGACTTCTGTCTAGGAAAATCAAGTACTTTCTATGCTCTCTGGCCATCTTAAACTGTCCTCCTTAGAAGATCAGGAAGAATGAAAACTAGGATAACACTGTGAGGCTTCAAGATAATATGGACCTTGAGCCTTGGGGTAAATTTTGATTTTTTTTTTTTGCCCTTCTCTCTGCTTGTATAGAGAGAATGGCATAGAGTTGACTTATAGCCTCCAGAGGATTTTTGCTTCATAAAAAGAAGAAACAAAGAAGAATAGGACAGTGCTTAGAATTGTTTTTCGAGGTATTCTTGTTGATCTTTTACCCTTGGCTTTAACTTTTTTACACAGTCATTACCTTTGTGACTAACTTACAAAACCTTTCCCATTGTACCTGATTGCAGTGGACATCTAAAAGATGGAAAAGATAATAAAGATTAAAATCAGAAGATGGGCAATATATTAATGATATAATAATACTAATTCAGAAATACTCTCAATTTTTTAGTATCATCACTTCTTTTATTTGTGGAAAATCCATTGTTTTGAATGACTACTTTTTGCAAAGCATTGCATTGTATACAAGTTGTATGTATTGAATTATTTATATTCCTGTCTTGTTCTATAAAATTTCTGAGGTGGCTTACAAGAAAAACAATAGAACAGCGTAATATAAATAATAAATTTAAAAATAAAAAACAGGAAAAGCACAAATTAAAATGCAATGTCAAAACTAGGAGAACAAAATAGACTGAGTACAAATATTCAAACCATAAGGCCCTTGAGTTTCTGCAGCTGGATTGCTGCGGATTTGACCCGGAGCCAAAGGGAAAGGGGGACATGGTTAGTGGTTTAGCTCTTGATGCCCTCAGCAACATCTTTTTGTATAAATTTTTTTCCTATAACCTTTCATACTGTTCTCTGTTTTCTTATGTAT